TGCTCAGAAGTCAACATCAAGACATGACATGGTAGTGAATATTCAATCCAAAGTGAAAACTGATGATAGAAAAAGGAGAAAAACTACTACCTCCAGGTACACTGAGAATGACTAGCTGCCCAATCCGAAGGATCTGTATTGGAAGTATTGAAGGTTGCCAAGATTATGAATGAAGCAAATGCATCATCATTGAAATTGTTCTAGTGGAAAAAGAACTGCAAGCATTCTTTTAGACGTAAAGAGAGACATCAGAGAAGTCCAAGAGTCAAATGGTTCAAATACTTCATCAGGCATCTAAGTAAAGATAGTTTTATAGCATATTGATTTCACGGAATCACGTTACAGAGACTTGGTTGGACATGTATTTCCCCTACCATATCATTGCAACTTACCACCCAATCATACGGTTTCTTCATTTCACCAGTATCTAGCAAGATGGGCTTTGGATGCTGACAATCAACTTGTTTTTTGTCTGGAGTTTTAAGTAAGTTGCGCACGAGCCTCCAAAAAGGATTTCCCTGACATAACATTCCAACAACATTAATGTACAGAGTAGGTAAACATAAGGCATGGAAAAATGAAAAGCTGCACTTATATTCAGTGCAGTCTTAGATCACCTTGTCATCTCCTTGCTTAAAATCAAATGCCCCGGGCCATCAGTTGTTCCTGCTGCAAAAGCAAATCCCATTGCAGCCGGACATGTTTTAACTACCTCAGAACCTCCTCCTGCTTTAGGAATCGTAACTTCAAGTTGGGAGAAGCAAGATATGGGTGGCGATAGTCAACCTTTCCTTTTAGTTGCTCAGATGCTTGGTTAAACAGATCCACAGCTTTATTGAATTGTCTCTCCCCAATAATGCGAGTACTTTCAAATTCATCGGGATAGCTGCCAAGTAAAATGAAAAAAAAAATTCAATTTCAGATTTCAGGCACAATATATATGGCATGATATAAGCAAGCACAGCAGGCAAGGTATAGTACCCCGGTCCTCAGCCACAGCATAGTTCATTATTTCCGCCACATGTACTATGATTGAAGTCACAAGGAAGACCAATGCCAACACAAAATGTTCCAAGTACATTGGGACTAACATCACCACAATTTGTTTGGCAAAATGCAGACACAAATCATGGTTTATCAGCCTGTCTAAGAGCATTCCTGACACGTCTAGCAGTGCTTAAAGTCCTGGTTGCAGGCTTACCAGGAGAAGACTGGAAAGATGCAGAAAGCTCCAGCAACTCATGGTCAACATCAAAAGACGTTAAAGAAATATTGTACAGAACCAGCCAGCACATCAAGGAGTTCGAGCTACAATTAATGGATCTGAATAATAATTTTTCAAGTAATTGAAATCGAAAGCTAAAAACTTACGATTATGATGAGTGCTGGAAATGATGTTCGAGACTAGCCGAGATATTCCATCAGTATCCAAATCAGTACTCTTAATATCATTCTGCTCAAACCAATCTTCCATAAATCGTGCTGCTGCACCCTTGTTACCCCACTGATCAGTGAGTTTGTACGACTCATTGATGTTCCATGAGTCGCAAACCAGTTGAAGCTGCCCACTGAGCCCCAGTGGTCATCTACAAACTTTATAAGGGTCATTTCTTTATCAACATCATATTTATACTTGGTGCGCTCTGATGCAGGGTTATTGAGATAGGCACTCGGACTACGGTTTACTCCAGCATCTAATAGCTCTCCTGTTGACAACCAATAATCTTTAAGCATAATAAATGCATACACCTCTGGTATGCAGAACAAAGTGGAACTCACAGCAAGAAAACACCAAACAATTTCAGAGAACTTCAACATGAAAGCATACATTGCCAGAACCAATAAGGCTGCAAATTTCATGTTCCTTACCCTTGTTCACAAAAATTGATCCAGGTTGGAGATTTCCGTAAGCTTGTACAATACTTTTCTCGATGCCATCTACCAGGAAGTCAAATGACTGACGAACAAACCCAAGGGACGTAACAATGTACACCACATATTGGAGATAACCACCAGGGCCTGCACGGGTATGAATACCGCTGATAGCAACATTCTGTTCGGTATATAAGTTCCCATATCTGCAGGTATAAGAAGCAGCTAAATGAGGGTATTCAAGACAAAAGCTAAAATATTAACACCAAATATTTATCAAACTAACAAGCATTTGAACAAGTATCCCATTTCATCTATTTCAAAGGCTTTGGTTCAATCTTACTCTATGTTATTGCTTCATTTTTTCCTAAAAAACCAAAAGATCATGATGCATATGATATTTCAAATAGATAATAGCATAAACTTGCCGCGATAAATAATTACCTCGCTTTCAATCTCTCAAGAACTTTAATGGTCACTAATTGTGATGCTTTGAGGGCATCGAGATTAACAAACACTAGTTTTCCCTGCAGCTGAGCCACAATAAACGATCGAGCACGCAGCCTAAAGTGAATCCCTTAAGCTATTTGTTCTGTATTAGCATACCCCATCATATATACCATAGGGATAGTCTCGATACTTGTTCTTCGTTTTGGACATATTCGTGAGTTTATGACCAAGAGTTTCGAAACTCTCAGAAAGTTTCGAAACTGGACAGAACATAATGTTTAAAAGTATCAAAACTTTAGCAGGAGTATAGATACTCCAAGGATAGTATCGATACTTTCAGTCTGTTTTGAGCAGTAATGGCAGTTTTTGAGCGTTTTAGACTCGAGGTACCAAACACTTTAGTAATTCTTCAGATAAGACTACAAGTGAGAACATTAATGTTAATTTCAACATATAAACAAGTTAAAGTTAGAAGAAATAAAACTAGCCTTGTTGGAATGTTCAGGAAAACGACCAGGACACTTGAATTCCTTTAGAAAAGCTAGCAGAGTCTACAATATAGATTCAGTCAGGATATCCTTAGGTAGGGCCTCTTAGAAGAAAAGGTAGGTTAGTCAGGGGTATGGTTTCTGATGTAAAGAATTTCGAGGGCCATATCAGGGTAGACTAGAGGGGTGTGTGAGCTCCGAGATGCAAAATCCTCAACCGCACCATGATGTCTGCCATAGCGTAGAGAGTGAGTATTTGAGAATACTCACTAAAGCAATTTTAAAGTAGACTAGCTTGGGCGCGACGTCAAACACTCAAGGAGTGAGCTAATATAACATAACAATCAGTAGAACAGATAGCATTAGACCTTATACCAGTAAACTTGAATGTTTAAGCCTTTTAGTGAAATACATTTAGTATGTTTTAGCCGATAGTGTGACATTGAATTAGTTAGCTTAGCATTCGGATGTTTCCGTGGGCAAGTTAGTGGAATAAGCAGTTGAGAAGCAATAGATAGACCAAAGTCCAGACCAAACCAGTGCATATCAGATGTACGTCTCAGCGTGTTTATTTGGGCATGTATATTTGTAAACATTATTGTCCAGTTGAGTCATAGAATCAGTCAAGTTGGTCTGTAATATTTTTGAAGTGTACATATTTTATTTTGGAGCTCATCAGTGAAAAGATTTTTATTATATTTTAGTTTATTTTATGGTCATTTTAAAACAAGAGGAAATAAGTTTAGTTTGTTAGCCACTTCGATGGTTCCGTGTAGCACTTTAAATCGGTTGACTGTGTGTCGTACTGGTCTAGGGTGTTACAAAACTTATTTGCCTTTGTGAGGTTTTTCTTTAGTTAGCTAATTTTGTAATTTCTCTTTGGGAGAATGTGTAAGCAAGTTTTTGGGTATAAACCTTGTGTGTCTTTGTAAGATTATACTTTATCTTTGAAGGTTTGCAAATCTAGTGGATTTGAGAAATCCTTAGTGTGGATAAATAAGGTAGTGGATGTAGACTTGATTTAGAAGTCAAATCACTCTAAATTATTGTGCAAAGTTTTTAATTTTCAATTGCATCCACCACAATTCTTTCAAAGGCCAATTCACCCACTCTTGGCACATTTCGGTTGATCGTTTCGAGCACAACATATATTAATTTAATATTTAAATCATATTATTTAAATTTTTAATATTTTAAATAAGATATTCCTTATTTTTTTATAACATGTTTTTTATTTTTTAATTTCTAACAACTTTACTATTATGATATGTTTTTCTCTACCTTTTGTCATATTTTTTAGTATTTTTTCTCGATTGTTTGACCTTTTTTTTCGTTTAGCATTCTTAGAGTTAAATTTAGCGTCGTCTCGATTGATTAAGATACGCTTATTAGTATCTAATTGGTCTTCTCTGTTTTGGACTCTTATATTAGATTTCGATACATTGTTTGCGTTCATAAATAGTCTTTTATTACGCTTGACTCTAATTTGTGATTGTCAATGGTCTTTCAAAAATTTCATCTCCTGTTGTAGTTTATTTGTAGATGTAATTAGATATGTTCGTATCTATTTTTCGGTCAAATTTTTTGAATGAATTTTTAATATTTTCCTTGTTTGGTGCTTATACCATCTCAAATGATTTTCTTCTTGTATTAAATTATATGAATACGTGTTAATTATTTTTTATTTTGATTTTTTTGAAAAATATTATTATTTTAATATGAAAACGTTTTGGTTTAAGAAAAATACTATTATCAAAGGTAATAATTCTTTTTATAATTTTATTATCTTATTTGATTTATCTTCATTTATTGAACAAAAATAACTTCGCAGGTTGGATATTTTTTTAAATAATTACTGATAATAGTAATTATAATAGTATAATTATTTATATAAAATTTATTGATGGATTAATTTAAATATAAAATATTATAAACGGATAAAGATTCAAATTTTGAGACCAAATCGAAGAAGTTACCAAATTCCAAGACCAATACGAACTAGAAAAAGAATTCAGGGTCAATAAAAAGAGATACAAAATTTAGGGGGCATAATGTGGTTTATCCTTTTTGTGCACGGATCTTAAACAGGAAGGATTCAACCGAATTTTAGTGCACTCCTCACGTCCGCATCTCTAGAACCTTCAGAATACCTTTTGCACATATAAAATCTTTTAAACCTTTTTATGCGTAACATATGAAATCATCATATATATAAAAGAGAGATCAAAAAGACTCGATCATCGTCCGCCTTTAGCTGTTTTTTTGTTTAAGGTAACTTACCGATTGCAATTGATTCATAAATTTATTATTATTATTATTATTATTTTTTGGAAATCGATTTTTAATTTTGGTAGGGAATTGTTTGTAATTATTATTTGTTTGTTGAATGGGATTTACCTTCGTTTTATGATAAGAGATAGGTCGTCCTTGAATTAAATTATTTATTATTACTTGCAAAATTGGAAGTTATTTTGAATTTTGGAATCTTGTTTTATGAATTGGTTAAATTTTTATAATGAAAATTGCTCTTGAATGTTTAATATAATACGTAGAAACAGCTGCCTAATTTGTAATCCGTCTCTATATTGGCGTGATAACATATGGAAATGTTTATAATATTTCAATTTATGTCTTATATGTTACTATTTTTGGAATTTAATCTGGTAGGTGAAATTGAAGTTCTAAAATTTCACATCAATCGGTTATATAGATTGAATTGAAAATTTGATTGTGGACAATTGTTTCTGGATGTGATGAAGTTTGTTCTTTTGTTTTATGAAAATGAGTTTCTTCTTTATCCAGTGGAATATTGCCAGGACCGTCTTGTAAATTTTGGTGACCTTGTGCCATAACAATAAAATAGACCTTTTAAAACTAAAATATTAGATATATAAATAAGTTCACTAATATTTTAAAATTTGGTGATCTATACCATAACAGTAAAATAAGCCTTGGACTTGAAAATTCTTGGGTCAAATATTCTAAATACACATACATACAAAAGGCTTAAAAAATTTTGAAGGTCCTTACAAAAATTGGGCCCTGTGCGGTTGGACAGCCCGCACAGACCCAAAACCGGCCCTGAATATTGCAGAGTAAAAACTGTAATTAAATGTTTGGGAATTTATCAAATACTGAGCTGTTTATTATGGTCACTTTTTCAGATTTCCTACTCTAGAGGATCAAGCTATTCCCCTTCTCCATCTCCATACAAGAGGTACAGGAGGTCCATCTCAAGATCCCAGTCAAGGTCAAAGAGTCGTTCGAGGCATTATTTAGTCATCTATTTCTGCCTTACTGCTGCTTATTGTATCTTTTGTCTCTAAATTTTGATGTGCTTTCCAGTTTGACATTTTTTTATTGGATTGGTAGGAGTGCTGAAAGTGATGTTGAAAATCCTGGGAACAATTTGTATGTGACAGGCTTGTTACATCGGATCACCAAGAAAGAGCTGGAGAAGCATTTTGCAAGTGAGGGAAAGGTATGGATTGGCATAACTTTCTAAGTGTGCATTGTTAATTTTGAATTTGTGAATATCAATTATAAAAAAAATCCATTTCATTCTAGGGGTAAGCATTCGATCGAGTCAATTTGAGTAAAAAAAAATTCGAGTTGACTAGTCATAGCTTATGACTCGGACTTAACTGGAAATTTTTCCGAGTCGAGTTTAAGAAATTAGAGTTGAGTTGAGATGTTCGAGTTTCTATAAAAATTTAATTATAATTATTTATAGTGTTAAGGTACGGATTGGTTCCAATTTTTCGATTTTCTCTAACCATATGATATATATATATTCTTTTCACATTATAATGTTATTTAATATATATCACTTACAATCTAAAATTATAAAATATTTACAATATTATATTTTAAAGAAGGTATTTTGAGGATAAAAGATTGATGAGAGTACAAAGGAGCCAAAGAATTGATATGAAGAAAGAATTTGTAAACAATCGTAGTCAAAAGATTAAATTGAGTAAAATGCAAAGCTAAAGGACTAAATTAAAAAAAAGTACATTTTTAATAAATAAAATAACAATTGAAGTTACATAGGTATTTTACAGTGGTATAGTAGCATGCAATTTAAATTTGATCGAAAATGTACTTTATTTAGGATGAATTGAAGAAACTTGAAAATAATGCGAAATTGAGAGATTAAATTTAAAAATTAGAAGATTTGTTATCAAAAGTGGAATTGAAAGTTGATATGTATTTTATGATGGTTTAAGAGCATGTGGTTCAAATTTGGTAAAAAATAATTTAAAATAAAAGGAGAAATTGAAGGAATGGTAAATCAGGGATCAAATCGCAAATTTGTCAAAATACTCATCTAAATTTTCGGTTTTTCAAGTTAATTGGGTTTTTGAAATTTCAACTCGAACTTGAAAACCAAATTGATAATTCGAGTTGACTCTAATAATTGATTTTTTTTTCGATATTTAGAGTCGAGTCGAGTTTTGCTCATCTCTATCCATTTTTTTGATGGTATATCATTTGACCTTGTCCATACGATCACACAATACATCTTTCAAAGTTTGTATTTGTATTTCAAAATAGTAAATATTGGTTGCATGAAAATCCATTCCTTTCAATGATGATACGCGGATCAACATTTTTGACATGGTTAAGAAATATCTATATTTGCTTTCCAAGCTCAATTTATAGGTTGTTGATGTTCATCTTGTGGTTGATCCGTGGACAAGGGAATCCCGTGGTTTTGGATTTGTTACAATGTCGACTATAGAGGAAGCTGAACGATGCATCAAGTATTTGAACCGCTCTGTTCTGGAAGGGCGTGTCATTACGGTAGAAAAGGTAAAAGATCCTGAATTTAGTTTATCTTGATTAGTGGCCGCTTTGACAGTTAGGTAATTGATCCTTGCTTAAATTGCATAAGAATTATGGATGGTTTCCACTTGTAAGTTATTGTGGCAGCAGGTTAGCTGTGTGTTGCAGCTCTTCACCAAATTCCAAAAGTGTAACACCTAACCAAACAAATCAAACACAACAACAAGAATCAGACTGTTAGGGTTGTATGCCCTGAATTTCTCTCTGTATTCAACTGTTATGTCTTTTGTTTCAATTATTCTGCATATGGATTCAAATTTATATTACCTCTTTCTGATAAAAGAAATGGAAAAATGGAAAGCAGTTGTACTCTCATCCAGCACTTATTGTTTGTGGACTTTTTGTAATTTCACTTTCTCATTCTGAGTCGTGTTTTCTGCAGGCTAAGAGGCGGAGGGGATGTCACGGTTACAAGAGAAGATCAAGACGAGGAGATTAGAATTGAAGCGAGGGAATTGGGGGAAATGGGCGAGGAATTAGGGATTGAGAGAAAAGAGAAGGGAATTAGGAATTTCAATCTCTAATGAGACGGCTGAAGGTATTTACCTTGAGTTGCATTAGAGGAAGAGTTGGCCAGAAGTGATGGGCTCTAACGTGGATCCAATCAACAGCCCGAAGGAGGAAAATATCTAGTTGCAAGGAGTCTATTAGAAAATCAGTTATAAAGTTGTCATCTTTTTATTTGCTATAGTACATTGTAATCAAATAAATACTATGTACTAAGAAATGAGAAAGATACCTGATGAATGAATGAATTTTTTCCTGTAATCTTCTTTCTTCTTCTAAAACCATTCTTCTTCGATATTTCTTTTTCTATTATTTCGGTTCATAACAAATTGATATTCAGAGCCTCGTTTCTTGGCATTAGCAAATTGGGAAAACAAAAAAAGAATCAAGTTATGGCAGAGTCGGCTGAACTTACTGTCATTCAGCAGCAGATTGAAAATTTATCAAAAGAGTAGAATAAGTCAGTGATGAAACGAAACCTCAAAATGGTGGGAGGAGCAAAACAATCGTCTAAATAATCTGGAATCGAAGATGAACACCAATCAAGCTTATATAGAACAAGTCCTACGAATATTAACGGAGAGGAACGATGAGCAGGACATGGCAAGCTCAGAGAAGGAGCAGACTGTTACGCCTACTCTAACTAAGGTTGAGGGAAAGAAATCGGTGATAGTGACAGTGATTAATGATAAGTCTAGATTCTCGTACAATATGAATGAACCATGTATCCTCAAATCTAAACCCTATGAGTCGCAAATGGAAAATCAAACAAGATAATAATGGGGCAAAAATGGTTCAGGGAGGGACAGTAGGAAACACTGGATTTATAATTCCTAGGCCTAAAGTAGAGCTAACAAATTTTGATGGAACTAATCCAAGGGGCTTGGTATAAAAATGTCATAAGTTCTTTCATCTCTTTGGAATTCCTGAAGAGCAAAGAGTTGAGTTAGCTACAATATATTTAGAGGGAAAAGCTGAATCCTGGTTCGATGGTTATATCATGAAAAAAAAAACGAGTACATTGGCATGAGTTTGAAGCAGACTTATGTCATCGATTTAGTGATATGCAATATACAGATGTCATAGAAGAATTTAGTAAGCTAATTCAGAAAGGAACAGTGGAAGAATACCAAGTGAGGTTTGAAGAGCTTAAACCTTTCATTTTAATGCAGAATCCAACCTTGGGGGAGGAATTTTTTGTGTTCATTTTCATAAGTAGACTGAAGGAGGAGTTGAAACATAGAGTCAAAGCTCTCAACCCTAAAGAGTTAACTGAAGCTTGTAGGCAGGCAAAATTATATGAGATTTCAATGGAGTTTGAAAGCAAAAGACAAAAATAAAATTCAAGATTCCCACCCTATCCCACCCAAACAACTTTTAACAAACCATCTTCAAAAAAAAACTTTTAACAAACCTGCTGCTAGTCCAACAACACAGAAGGTTCTACCAAATCCTTCTAACAAGAATAATTTGTTGGAGTATCGCAGATTGAATAATTTGTGTTACAAATATGGTGAACGATTTCAACCAGGCCACCAATGCAAGTTACGACAGTTGAATGCCATGGAGGAATTGGATAACCAGGAAGAAACAGTCATAATAGAGGAAGTTTTGGGAGAGTCAAGTGATAAAGATGAGAATCTGGAAATTTCAGTCAATGCTCTCACAAGTAGCATTGGGTATACTACAATTAGAATTCAAGGCTTGATCAAGAGCAAACCTCTCAATATTCTTATTGACAGTGGCAGCACACACAACTTTATCACTCCTAAGTGGGCTAAAGCTGGTACTGAGTTAGTTTCAACTCAACCACTGCTAATGGTGAGAAATTATTTAGTTCAGCTACGAGTAATCAATTATGTTGGATCATGCAAGACCATCAGTTTTTTCATGATTTTCGGGTGCTTAATCTAGGCGGCAACGATATGGTTCTTGGAGTTGATTGGATGCGCAAATATAGTCCAATCCTTATGGATTTTAATTCCATGACTATTACTTTTGAGAAGAAGGGACAACAATTATCTATTCAAGGACATCAAGCACCATTCCTTATGAAAACAGTTTCAAATGACAAAATGCACAAGATTACTACTAAGGATCCAGATTTATTGGGAGAAATCTATTTCCTAACTATGGAAACTGATGAGCAACATGTACCTTATGAGCTACAACCATTATTAGCAGAGTTTGCAGGAGTTTTTGAGGAACCTAAAGGATTACCTCCTGCACGAGTACATGACCATTCAATTACACTTAAACCGGGTGCAACCCCGGTCAATTTGCGGCCATACAGATTTCCACATCATCAACAAACAGAGGTGGAAAGACAAATTTCTGATATACTAGCAGCCTCTGTCATTCAAGCAAGCAAGAGCCCTTTTGCCTCACCTTCTTACTTGTGAAGAAAAAAGATGGTTCTTGGAGATTTTACGTCGATTATAGATAACTAAACTCTCAAACAGAAAAAAATAAATTTCCAATACCAGTGGTGGAAGCCTTATTAGATGAATTACATGGAGCATCCTATTTTTCTAAGTTAGACTTAAGGTCTGGCTACTGGCAGATTAGAATTCAGCCTACAGACATCTACAAAACAGCCTTTCGCACTCATCATGGACATTTTGAATTCAAGGTAATGCCCTTTGGTCTCACTAATGCACCTGCTACATTTCAATCTCTTATGAATGATCTATTTACTCCCTATTTGAGAAAGTTTGTTCTGGTATTTTTTGATGATATATTAGTGTACAACACTACACTTGAGAAAAGTTTTGGAAATATTGACACACATCAGCTATATGCTAAGAGGAGTAAATGTTTCTTTGGCCAAACACAAGTAGAATATTTAGGCCATATTATTACTGCTCAATGGGTTTCCACTGATCCATTAAAAATTGCTGCCATGAAAAATTGGCCACTTCCTCAAAACTTAAAATCTCTTCGAGGATTTTTGGGGCTAACAGGCTATTATAGAAGGTTCATCAAAGGCTATGGTGCTATTAGTCGGCCACTTACACTGATGTTAAAAAATGATGGTTTTACATGGAATCCTACAGTATTGACAGCCTTTAATCAATTGAAGGAAATAATGTGTAAGGCTCCAGTTTTGGCTCTTCCTGATTTCACTAAAGAATTTTGCTTAGAAATTGATACGAGCTCAGAAGGTATAGGGGCTATTTTATCCCAAGGAGGTCGTCCTTTGGCATACCTTAGCAAAGCTTTAAGCACTAAAAACATGGACCTTTCTAACTATGAGAATGAATATTTGGCTATTCTTTTGGCAGTTTCGAAATGGCGACATTATCTTGAATGTGGTCCGTTTGTCATTAAAATAGACCACGAGCCTTTGAAGTATTTATTAGAGCAGAAACTCACAACAACAATTCAGAACAAAGGATTGACTAAATTGTTGGGTTTGGACTACACAATTCAATATAGAAAAAGGCGTACTAATGTTGTGGCTGATGCTTGTCAAGACAATTTGTGCAGGAGGGTGAGTGTCAACAGATGGGGGCCATGATTATAATTCCGACTTGGGTGACAGATATTGAACAAAGCTATGAAAATGATGATGATGCTAAAGAGTACATTCGAGCAGTAACTATTAACATGTTAGTGTTCCAAATTGGAAGTATTCAACAAAAATAGAGTTTATGTGGGACAGTCTGGTGCTTTACGTTTGAAGATATTACAGATTTTACATGACTCTCCTCATGGAGGCTATTCGGGTATTCACGCTACGTACCAGTGGGTGAAATCTTATTTTTATTGGCCTAAACTTAAAAGCATGGTCTCTACTTATATACAACAATGTGAAGTCTGCCAATGCACTAAGGTGGAGCATGTGGCTAAACCTAGACTACTACAACCAATTCCAATTCCTCAACAAGCATGAGAGGTGATAACTATGGATTTTATTGGAGGGTTACCTAATTCTTTGCATAAGAATTGCATTTTGGTGGTGTTAGATAAACTGACTAAATATGCTCATTTTTAGCACTTTCTTATCCCTACACTGTGATGGAAGTAGCTAAATTATATTTAGATCATGTTTATAAGCTTCATGGTCAACCTAAGATGGCCATTTCAGATCGTGATAAGACCTTCACTAGTTTTTTTGGAAAGAACTAATGAAGCAGTTGGGAACCAGCACACTCTCTAGCACAGCTTACCATCCTGAGACAGATGGTCAAACTGAGAGAGTGAATCAATGTCTTGAACAATACTTAAGGGGTTTATGTTTCCTAAAACCTACTCAATGGGCAAGATGGTTACCTCATGCTGAGTGGTGGTATAATACAAACTATCATACATCACTTAAAACTACCCCTTTTGAGACACTCTATGTATATAAACCTCCTACAATGTTATGGTGTTCTGAATCTAATGTCAACAGTGTTTAGACATTATTACAAGATAGAGAGCAGATCAGGCAGATTGTGAGAGATCGGTTACAGTAAGCCTAGAATCGTATGAAACAACAAGCTGATAAAAAACGTAGTGAAAGAAAATTTGATGTGGGTGAGGAGGTGTACCTGAAACTGCAACCATATAGGCAGACTTCCCTGGCAATCAGAAAAAAACTTGAAGTTAGCAGCTCGTTTTTATGGCCCTTACAAAATTCTAGAAAAGATTGGTGATGTTGCTTATAAATTGGACTTACCAGACACTATTTAAATACACCTTGTTTTCCATGTCAGCCTTTTGAAGAGAAAATTGGGAGAGAAGACAGTGGCTTCATCCGAATCTCCTCAGGTAATAGATGATGGACGACTGAAAGTATTTCCTGAGAAAATTTTAAGCAGAAGAATTGTAAAACGAGATAACCGTGCTGTTACTCAATTACTGGTTTGATGGACGAATTTGAGTGCTGAAAACAATACCTGGGAAGATTATACAATCTTGCGTGCCCAGTTTCCTGAATTCGATCATTAGGGAAAAGGATCTGTTGATGGAGGAGGTATTGTCACGGTTGCAAGAGAAGACCAGGACAAGGAGATTAGAATTGAAGCGAGAGAATTGGGCGAAATAGACGAGGAATTAGGGATTGAGAGAAAATAGATAAGGGAATTAGGAATTTTAATCTCTAATGAGAGGGTTGAAGGGATTTACCTGGAGTTGCAGCAGAGGAAGAGTTGGTCAGAAGAGATGGGCTCAGACGTGGATCCAGTCAACAACCCAAAGGAGGAAAATATCCAGCTGCAAGGAGTCTGTTAGAAAATCAGTTATACAACTGTCCTCTTTTTATTTGCTATAGTACATTGTAATCAAATAAATACTATGTACTAAGGAATGAGAAAGATACCTGATGAATGAATGAGAATCATTTTTCTGTAATCTCTCTTATTTTCTTCTTCTAAAACCTTTCTTCTTCGATATTTCCTTTTCTATTACTTCGGTTCATAACAGGGGAGAACTCCTACTCCTGGAAGGTATTTGGGATGAGAACGCTCGTGGTATTTTCTAATTGATGATTATTCTGTTTGTCTAGATTACTTGGTATCTGAGGATGCCAGATTATGATTTTTTTTAAATTTCTTCTCTGTATGCAGCTTGTCAACGTTCTCGAAGCTATTCATCTTGTAGGTCTTACTCGAGGAGCCGCAGTCGATCTCATCGTTATTCATCTGACAATAGTAGTAGTAGATCATACTCCCCTCGACAGAGGTCGTATTCACGTTCTTGTTCCTCATAGTGTATCCTTAGATGACCGCTACTACAGAAGCTTGACCGTTCCTACTCTCTTGATGACAGATACTATAGAAGACATTATGGGTCTTACACTCCCGATGAACATTACTATCGTAGGCAAGACCGTTCCTACTCACCTGATGATCGATACTATAGAAGACAAGATCGTTCCTATTCACGAGATGATCGATACTATAGAAGGTGGGATCGTTCCTACTCACCTGATGATGGTACTACAGGAGGAGGGATCTTTCCTACTCACCAGAAGATTGGTACTATAGAAGGAGGGATTGTTCCTGCTCACCAGAAGATCGGTACTACAGAAGGTGGGATTGTTCATGCTCACCAGAAGATCGGTACAACAGGAGACGGTACAAGTCTTATGATTCTGTAGATTGTAGAAGTTATGGAGACCATTCTGTTTCTGGGAGTCCTGCACCACCTGCGTCAAGGAAAAGTTCTAGGAGGTGCTCACGTATTGGGAGCCCTAAGCGAAGGAGTAGCTCAAGGCAGAGTTACTCACGCATCAAATTCCCTGTAGAGAGGTCGAGGGACATCTCACGAAGCATTTCTCCATCACGTAAGAAACTTACCAAGGATCCGGAGTGAGGGTCTCATCGCAGTCGTTCAAGAAGTAGAAGTGCAAGCCCGTCATCCAGATCTTTTTCAAGATCAGTGACTCCGAGGTCCGACTCTTCGTCCTAAAGGATAGTGAAGGATTACATATGCTCCACTATCGTTGATACGTGATTGGAAGAGAACGTGTCTTTAAATATGGCGTGTTATTTTCAGGGATTTTATTATTAGGTTTGTGAAACTTGGATCTTGAGAACTCAAATCAAATTGTAGTAGAAATTTGCTCTCTCTCTCTATTGTGTTTTATTTGATGACTTAAGTACCCCGAGTTCTTGAGACATGTCCACTCCTTGCGGGAAGGGTGGTGCAAGTATAGGTATTGTAAGCCATGATCCAGTGCGTATAGCATTCGAGCTTCTATTCATGATGGGTTGTATAACGTAAACAAGGATCACCATCAAGTATATGGATTAGGGATGGGGATGGGCCTGAATTTAACGGGTTCTGACCCGATCCGATCGAATCGGTTTTTTTTTTTTAAAAATTGAGTTTGGGTCGGGTTTGGATTTAGGGTAAAAATACCATACCCCAAACTTTATATATTTAAGAATAATTATAATACTTATTTATATATAATTTTTTCTAATTAAGTCATTGTTTTTATTGAATAAAAATAATTTTTTTATTATTTCGGGTCGGGTCGGTTGGGTTTCTAAGTATATATCAAGTCGGATTTGGGTCGGGTGAAATCTTATTTTGGTCTGGTCGGGTCTCGGGTGGAGTATCGCTTGGTCTCTGATCGGCTGGACCAAAAACCCGACCCGACTCATAGATGTGTAGTCTCCCCCATCATTTTCTGAAACACGTGGTGAAACCCCATCTCTTCAAGGAGAGTGAGTACTTAGAGCACTAGAAGCTCTCGAGCCTGATCAATGGATCAAATTTATGACCTTTTAACTTTCAAGCAGGCTGTTGCCGGAGAGAATTCATAAACTTTAGAAGTAGTTTGAGCTTTCCGTACCTGGTTCCATCTAGAGCGACTTAACTCTTCCGTCACTCGTTGACGCATGATAGATAGTTCCGTATAACATAGGGACCTCTCGAGTATTTATTTCAACTGCTATGCTTCAGAGTATTTATTTTAAACCAATATGAAAAATATAATTATCTCATTTATTCTGTAACAGATTAAATTACTCCTGATAGAGACAGAGCAAAGATATTAGTATGAGCTATGATCTCCCTTAAATGATAATATTCAAGTTTAGTTCTTTTAAATTTGATATTTTTAAGTTCAAATAAAAAAATTACATTTCAACTCACTATATGAGAAAAATCAATTTAAACAAAAATTATAAAGTTCTAAGTTAAAACAATGATTGAATTAAATTTAAACCTTTAAAAATCCATAATTTACTTTTAGCTTCACACATACTTATAATACAAAATCGTCTTAATACAAAAATAAATGTCTAAATTACGTCTCGAAAAATGTTTGTGTCATTTTTTTCACTAAAATTAGGTACATAATATTTTAACGTTATACTTTTAGATATCCAAATGTTAACCGTCATTAAAAATCTCCTTTAAGTGATACATGTCACGTTCTGATAATTTTAAGAATTTATTTAAAAATTTTAAAAATAAAAATATTTTTTATTATAAATAAATATATTATGTAAAAAAAACTTTTTCCCTTCCATCGTCCCCCGTCCGGCGTTTTTCCCAAAAAATCACCGGTGACCGATATATTTACCGATCTAACACCGGTCAGACTATATTTCCCGATCTAACACCCTTAGCAGTAAAGCACGCCCCCTGCACCGCGTTATATGCTGATTTGGCATCACGTGGGGTAAGGCGCCCCCTGAAACGCTCCTTATACTGACATAGATTCACGTGTCTAAAGCGAGGGGTAGGTGTGTAATTACACGCGGGGCAGGGGTCGCGCCTTACCTTTGAATCTGACACACGTCAGGAAGGCGCGCCCCCTGCCCCGCGCTATACCCATAATTACCCCCATACCCCCGACGCTTCACACCCCAATCCTCCCTATAAATACCCCCATCCTCAATTACTTTTATCACACCAAATTCTCTCAATTTCTCTCAAATACTCTTATAATCTCTTCTAAGGTATATTTTATTATATTTTTAATATTTTGTATTTAATTTATTTAAGTATTTAATTTATTTAATATTTTACTTATTTAATTTTTTTACAGATATAAAATGGCAGATGGTCTACTTCGCTTGGATGCAAATCATATCTCGACACGATACGGTAACATTTTAACGTTTTAATTTAATATTAGTAATAATTTGTTAATTATTTAATGCATGCTTATTAGATTAAAATTAATTTTTGTAATTATTAATTTTAGGAGAAGGATCGTGTATTAGATCCTTTTATTAGGAATCTTAAGTTAGTGATACCTAGCTGTGTCTTGCCGTATTTAGTAGATGCTGGATTCGGTTACATAGGTAGATATCAGAGTCACTGTAAGATAGAGCCAGACCTGATATCTGCCTTAGTAGAGCGGTGGAGGCCAGAGACTCACACATTCCATCTTCCGTGCGGAGAGTGCACGATTACACTTAAGGATGTTTCTATGCACCTGGGGCTTCCGGTGGATGGAGATATGATATCGGGGATCGCGTAGGGTTCATGGACTACTTTGTGTCAGGATAATCTAGGACGTGTCCCGGAAAATTTTAACGGTGGTCAGATACCGTTAAATTGGTTAGATGCCAATTTTCGTGATTTGAGCGAGGACGCGTCTGAGGATGAAGCTAAAATGTATGCACGGGCATGCATACTACAGCTGATAGGAGGGTTGTTGATGCCGGACAAATCGCGCAACCAAGTTCACTGCACGTGGTTGCGACACCTTGGAGACTTTCATCTGGCCGGATCACTCAGTTGGGGCTCGACAATTTTGGCTTTCTTGTACAGAGAGATGTGTTGAGCCACTAACTACAGGCGTAATGCTATCGACAGATGTCTCCTGCTGCTACAGTCTTGGGCATGGTATCGATTGTCCTTTTTATGTCCCGTTGTCAAGAACCCATTCGTATTTCCACTATTATTGAGGTAATTGTAAAACTGATTTCATATATTAATCATTTTATACAACGTATAATATTTTTTTTCCTCGAATAGGTGGTATACTGATAGGAAAAATCATTAGGAGCTACCTGATGATTTAGAAAAAATTTGGGTGCTCCTCGATCAGAAGGCTGGCACACAGGTATGAATTTTAATGTTTAAAAATCGATTTTAGATTATAGTTATATAATTAGATTATTATTTGATAAAAATTATATATTTGTTTTAGTTTGAATGGGTGCCATATTCTACTGATGATGTGAGGACGGTGATCCCACCTGAGTTGAGGGGACCATTAGATGTTTGGATGGCGATGGTCCCCTTGATCTGTTATGCGATCGTCAAGTGGCACTCCACTGATCGCGTGCTCCAGCAATTTGGTTATTTCAACCAATTCCGGAAGCACCTCGCAATATGGACGAGTTGCATAACACAGATAGACGCGAAAAGACAGATACAGATTGGCTGGTGAGGCATCATGAGTGGGTCGTGTTGTGGGAGGATCGACATCGGAGCCTTCCCCGTAGAGAGCCCATTTTACTTGACCTCTTGATGGTTGCTGACGGTTATTATGAGTGGTTAACAGTAACAGGAAATTGTTTCTGCTTCCCGAGGATGCACAAGGGTAAACCTTTCCGCGACGTCGACAAAGACGTTCACCGACACATCACCATCGTCACCCGACTCGTGGACGGAGAGCAGGTGCTTCCGGTTCATCCTCAGCTGCACCAGCAGGACCTTTACAGCAGCCACCGCAACCATATATGATGTCGCCACCTCCATGTGCTCCACATTTAGGTTGAAGAACCTACTACTTTCACGCATTCCCCTTGAACTAGAAGGCATATCGACATTGAGATTGAAAAAGTTCGCAGTCGAATGCCTCCCCTGGAGCTTGAAGCCATCGTGTCAAATGGAAACTGCACAGATGATTGTGTCGATGAAATCTCCATATGGTCAAAGAAATTTGCAGATGAATGCTTTCCCCTTGAACTGGATGCGGTGTTGCCATACGGATTGTTTGTGGACCCACCTCGGTATATATCGTAAGGAGTTGCGGATGAATGTCT